TGGATATAAAAATTAATTCTTTAAAGAACGTCCTACAATGCATAGTTGAACATTTGCAGGCTTAGTTTGACTGAGCATGTTCAGAGGTGAATGCAAGCTACCGTCCACGCACCCCTCCGCACCGACTTAAGCAGTAATCAATATTAATTTTAATAAAGAAAATGGCGAAATATATCTGAGGAAAAAGGCTGACAAAATTAAACATTCATGATATGGTGAATGGAAATAATGAAAGTCGGACTCATTATTAAAGAACCAATGTAAAATAAATATATGCATCTATAATTGTATAAGATTTAGTTTGAAAATGATTTGCGTCGGATTGAATTTTATATGATAGTTGTTTATCAGAAATTATTTTCGATGAAGTGATTGCATATATATCCTGCAACATTTGATTTGAATGTGATTTTTTACTTCAAATTATTATGACAGCTGTATATTGTCATAGTATATGGTCTACCAAATATATATTAATGCGCCGCAATTCAAAACTCGAAAAAGAAATGGCATATGTTTATTGAATTTTGATATATGTGACGAAAATCTAAGACAATGGGTTGATGTAAACATTTACTATATTAACTTAGCATCAATTTTAAATTTTATTTAAAACTCAACGTCATAACAATACATTATTACATGTACACATACCGTCCTATATATAATAAAACACAAAAATCAAAACAACAAACGATATACAAATATCACAATATAATACTTTCTATATTATTCTATAGCATTCCAATGGATACATAGCTCTACAAACATTCAGACTTATCTGAAAACGTAGACTAGAAATTCTCCCGTCAATTCTGTTTAACTTTACCGTGAATTTTCATTAGGCTTAATTGACATTTGTTGCACTTACTTGAAACTTACGTACAGTTTTTATTGTACAATTTGTGCTTTGTATGTCTGCCATTTCTAAAGATTCTGGCTAATTGGCATAGAACAAAAGAAAAATTGCATTTTAACGACATCGGCATGCTCTTAATGGCTTTCTTTTTTTTTGTAAAGTATACGATAACGATGTAATTCTCATAATAAAAACGAACGAATTCTAAAAAAAAAAAATAAACATACAATACACATTTCAAAAAAGGAAAGGCATGAAAGACTTGAATTATTCAATCCGTAAAGGAACTCCACTGAGGTTCATAAGCCTAGAAACACATAATTTGAATTTCTTACATAGATCAGCTGGGGAACTTAAAACATAAAAATATGCAACAGATAATTAAGAAATATAATCAGAAATAAATTAAAAATCGGATTTTATGCTATTCTTAGCCCGACTTCAGTGGAAAGCGATGCAACGTTTTTCAATTTTGGATCATTGTTACAGTAATTATTCCGGAAAAACAGAGAAAGCGAATAATCTGAAAGTTTGCACACAACTATTTGGTCTGTACCTACATCAAATAAAACATTAATTAAATAAAAATATTTCGAGTCCTGTGAGGTCAAATATCTCAGTGGTGTCCCTTTAATATAAAATTCTTTATTGGACTCTTCAAGTCATCCCACATGGTTACTTCCTGTAACAAGTGGTCGCATCATTGTTGATTTTGGAGGTCGAAAGACGGTATCACAAATTTTCAAACTCGAACCCGTGAGTTCCGGATTGGAGGATCCAATACTGCATTCAATATTCGGAAAAGTATTAATGTACTGGTAGATGAAAGACCAATTTTATATAGTAAAAAGTGTTCTTATATAAAATACTAGTCTGTATGGTATTTGGCTATTAAATTTAGCTTTACCTCCTCCTGGTTTTAACAAGGAGTTTTTAGCATGACTTTATAGATTTTCTCGATATCATTTCATAAAGCCTTGTATAAATGATCACTTTTGTTCTAATTTTGAATTTTATTTCGATTTGAATATGTAAAAAACATCAACAAAAACAAATCTTAATAGGTACATTAGATAAACCAAGAATTACGCAGCCAAGCGTCTGGATAATGAAGATTAATGGAGGCGTGTATCAAACATATGGCAGTTATCGTGGCTGACACGATACGTTTTATAACTTGTGCTGAGCCAGGTTAGTTTGATAAGGAGGCGGAATCTGCTGCACACATGAATAAATCACTGATAAAACTAACGAATGTGATTAAAGAGTACAAATATACTCTTAATAAAACAGAAAAAAAGGAATGAAATGAACTAAATAAATCATGAAAATGTGTAAAGTAACGTGCAAAAGATAGAATGAAATAAGTCAAAGAAACTGTGTAAAAATAAAATATTTGAACCAGTGTGGGTGGTGGAAGTAGGGCCCTGTTTCGAGCCCGATTAAAACTAAGAGAGTTATTGCGTTTTGTATGACATTTCTAATGTATTATTATAAAGAAGAGATATTAAGATATGCAAAAGAAAATAGAGCTGTTTATTTAAAAAAAATTTAAACCTATTTGTTACTGGGTGAAAAAATGTCCAGTCTGACCTGGACTCGAACCCGGGACACTCAGGATACCGTTCCTTGGCCAGAATAGCGGGCCTCTAAGTTTTTTTTCCTATCATTTCACGCATTCCAACCTAACGAATGTCCAATAAATATTTGACTGCTACAAACCAAACATTCAGGGTGTTAAAAATGTTCTTCCTTGCAAAACTTGATTATTTCTAAAGTACAGTTTACTATAACATTATAATATTAACCTTGAGGAGTTGTGGACTTGAAGACACAAGAAATCGGACATGGAAAAAAAATTATGGATGTCGTATGGCGACTTCCCAGCTTTACTTGTAAAAAAAACCCCTCATCATCCACTCGTTGCGTAAATCCGTGCAAAAAAACTCATTTAAATGCAAAAAGTAAGCCGGAATTATGGCATTACCGTCATATAATTGGTAATGTTTTATATTTTATGATTTTATATGTGCATAAATCGTTACTCAATTTAAGGATGAAGCAACCGTGAACATCAACCTTTCCACATAAGTATATGTAAATGATACCAGGTATAATACGCTGTCAAAAATTCAAAGAAATCTGCATAAGACATAATAATACAAAAATGTAATATCCATAGGGATACAAATCAACAATCATGTAGCACAAATAATGCAAGAGTTGTCTATCTTATTGTAGAAATTAATTTCATCCTTAACCCTTTCCCCCATGAGCATATTGTGAAAAATGGCCGTTTTCACTGAAAAGCCTCCTGTTACAAGTTCAAACTGCTATGAAACTATGAAAAATGCTTCAATACTAATCAAACTTGGCACAAATGTTGACTGGACCATTGCCTTTGTAACTACATGCTCAGTCTTTAATTTCCTGTTACCATGGCAACGAGGGGACATCTCAAAATTGCCAAAAATCACTATTTTGCCTCGATTTTTTCCATCAAAATTTATTTCAAAGTGCTGCAACTGTTCAAGGGATTGAGATAGAGTCAAAGGCTTTTCAGCGTTGGTTAAACGTTACATTATGATCGACCTGGGGTCATTTTTACCCTCTCACAAGTCCAAAATTTTCTTGGCGATGAGGGGGACTCCGCCCCCCTTCAAACCCCCCTAACAGAAGGGGGCACATCCCCCTTCTGGCAACCCCCTGATGTATCTTTTGGATGGGGGGCGGCGCCGAAAAAGTGCTCAATTTTTTAAGCAACATTTTTTCAAACGAAAACTTATGTTTAGGGTCCAAATAGGACATTTTTTTCACTATTTGAGGCCTTAAAAGGGGGGGGGGGGTCGAAAGTGCGTTGTTTCGCGTATATATGTGGTAAAGGGTTAAAGAAATATCACAATGATCTATACCTTGATAACATTACAATAACTACAATTAACGCTGTAGGTTCAAATCTCGTCCGATTCTTTTGAGTTCGGAGATGTGCTACATAACGGAATGCACGTGGTTCTACTCGGGGTACTCGCTTGTATGTACGAATAAAACAAACGGAAGGGCCTCATAGGAACACGCCCACTATTTAAGCTTGAAAACCGCTACATGGCCTGTACAGAACTGGAGCTAGTTACATCAAACCAACAAAAAATTAAGTTGTCAGTTACAGACTTGTTATGGGACAGGAATTGGGCACTACCTGTCCAAGTATAAGTATTGCTGTATTTTACAAATTTATCCTTTGATTGCCCAGGACATATACATCGCATTTATGCAAAAAATGCCAATGCTGAACGCAGATACCAGATTAGTATTAACGGTTCTTCGAAATGGGCACTAGCTATTATGCTCTAAATGGAAATGTAAGAACCTAAACTTGGGTGCATAATCTATTCATACAAATTAAAATAACATTTTTAATAATAAATTACATTTATCTTTCTTCACACAAAAACATGTGTTGCATGTTATGACATCAACTTATTATTTAACAAAAGGCACCGCCGGGCGGGGGAACGCTCGACGTTTTTTAGTTTTTCTAAAAGCAAACAAACAAACGGTTTAAACAAATCTTACAAAAAAAAATAGTTTTTTTTTTCCTTTCTTAAGTTTAAAAGGTCTGTCCAGTCACACTTGTTGTTTTGTCCAAGTATTAATTCTTCCCATAAATAAATGACAAAGTAAAGAAATATAATCAAAATTTAATCATTTGACAATCAAGGCCATTTAAAGGTCAAGGTCATATCTGAATTATTCCACAGAAGTGTGGTTTTGTTTACATCTTGCAGACGGCAACGCCGACATGACTGTAACAATACCTCTTATTTTTTTAAATGTCAAGCTAAAAACAGGTCAATTCTTTTTTTGGACTGGATCTTGGCGTTATAAACTTTTTCTATGTACACTCTCTATTCCCTTGTTCATTTATGATTTCTTCGTATTTTTGTAACATCTCAGGCTGTTGATTCAATCTGTAGAAAGTGGTCTGTGTTTTACGTTTTGCAATGTTGTAGTTGGTTGGTAGTATTTAATGGTCAGGTTTCTATGGCAACATAGCAGAATATTTTCCTTAATTGTAAAAATAGAGATATTGAAAATCTATTTATTTTACTATTAAATTGAACAAACAAAACAACAACTATAGTATTTCAAAAATTTTATTTCTGATGTATAACAACATTTGCTGTATGTTTTAAAGGTAAACAGTCAATACCTGTATTAAGAGCACCTTTAAAATAATGGGGAAAACTGTACTTTTCCCCCAAATTATTTTCTCCTCTCAAAATTCAACATAAAATGCCACATTTTTTCATTATTGTAAATGTTTTGTTGAGAATTCAGATATTTTGCAATAAGCTTACAGTAGGCTGTAAAAAAATTACTCCAACTACTGACAAATCAATTTAATCTTATTCAACACATACTGTGTAGGTTTTATCCCTGTTCATATAAAATTCATCAAAATTACCTGATCATGTACTTATCAAAAATACCTAACATTATTTTCATGATCTTTTTCATGACCCTCAGACTGCTTTGATAATAACAAAAAGTTTGTTGCCCGTCTTCTGTTACTTTCTAACAGGTCAGCCTGTATTTCTTTGAAATCTGGCTAAATTCTGCTGAGCGCTGAGTTTTAGTATTTTGAAATAAAGAAACCCCTTACACTACAAATGGACTGTTCCAAATTCAAAGAAGGGTGAGTCCACTATACAAATTCAGACATGTACATCAATAACAATTACCAACAGAAATATCATCATTTGTCATAAGGCAATTTTTTTTCCTGGAAAAATTATATACAATTAACTTATGTGGTTTCACATATTGTTTATCAGTATACCAAGTTATGAAAACACACTAAATTGATAGTTCGAATCATATTTCAACTATGTTATTGTTAATTACATCTTATTTAATCAGAGTCAATAATTCAATTGAGGACATCTCAACTAAATATTTAATTTACCTTATTAATATATTCTTCAAATTACTTTAGTATGATAAAATTTCCCCGGTGTGCCCACCATTCTGACTTCACACTTCTTAAAATAACACAACCTGATGACCACTATAAATTCCTTTTTTAAAAAGCACAATTCATTGCATGATCCTTATTGATAAAAGTAATTAATTCAATTGAGACGCTCCAAAAGATTTTTTTTAAAGATAAAGTAATTTCAATTACTTTAAAACAGTGTTCTTCAGCACAGATGTTACTGTAACTCCATGAAAGAGCAAGCATTATTCTGAAGTCGGTACAGAACCACATGTTTAACAAACTGTCACAAAAATTTATAATTGTCATTAATTTCATCTGCCTGTTATCCTTACAGTTGTTATATTTGGATTGCCTCTGGGCGGTTGAGCCCGGTGCGAGGACTGTGGTGTCCTATGTCTCTGCGTACCGCGTGAACCGCCACTAAAATTAGCCCCGCCCCCTCGGTACTGATCGTAACCTGCCTGTTGCTGACTTGAGGGCTGATTCTGCTGTTGAAAGTTAGAGTACTGAGGGTACTGGGAGTAGGAAGTTCCTTGAAACTGTTGCGTCTGCTGCTGAACATTTTGTTGCTGGAATGGAGGCTGAGATGCGGCTACAGGCGGTCCCGGCACTGCGGCACTGGCGGGATACTGTGACGGATTGTAGCCTGGCGGGTACTGCTGAGGCGCACCTGGCATGCTATACTGAGAACTTGTTGACGGCGCCCCCGCAGTTTGTGGTGGAGGGTATCCAGCATACTGAGGCTGAGAACCAGACTGTGTGAATGTTGACGGCTGTGTACCCATCAAAGTCTGAAGACTCTGCACACCTTCGCCAGACAAAAACGAGGCCTGGTACTGATTTGATGATACGTACGGATTGTACTGTGAGAAGTCAGTTGTTGTACCAGTCTGATATTGTGATGACGGGTAAGAAGTGGGCGGAGCTTGAGGATTGTTGGGATTGGTGCCGTATGCTTCCTGTCCCGCCCCACCTGAACTGTTACTTGCTGAAGGTGCAACAGGGCCCTGTAAATCACAGATTATCAATGTTATCTTAAAATGTTTTCATTATGAAAAGACATGCTTTATAAACGCTCTATTTAAGTACAAAAAAACCCTATTCAGTTAAAATAATTAATGATCAAGTTGCTATAAAGAATGTTCATCCAATCAAACTAGACCTTATAAAGATTTTTTTTCCATTCTATAACTAATGACATAAAATGCTTGATAAAATTCTCTTAAACGTTTTCATCATTATAATATAAATCATTTACATTTTCTTTTATTTGGGATAATTATTAAATTCAGCATGAATTATAGTTTTTACACTGCTATGTATTATCCAACTTGAACAAAATGTGCTTTTCCACCAATACAAAGTACATCGGAATTCTTAAAATCTGACCTTCACTTTATTTAAGGTCATTTAGTGGTCAGGGTCATAATGAAAGAAGTAGCAATAAAAACACCTATTAAGATGTATGGTGTGCAGGGCTCTCAGTAGGGTCAGAATTTCACGAGTCAAAGACTCTTTGGCCAAAATTTTCACGAGTCAAATCATATTTTTCTAGTGTCATTTGACTACATGAATCATATTTATGTTAAAAAAAAAATACTGTATTGGAGGTCATTTTTGTAGATTCTCAAGTCTAAATTGATAATATTTAACCCCCCCCCCACCCCCAAAAAAGACAACAAAAAACAAAAAATAAAAAGAAATGAATTGCATCTTTACTGTGAAAGAATAAACAAGAGGGCCCATGATGGCCCTGAAATCGCTCACCTTGTATATAGGCCCCCGGGGCGGGGCTAATTTTAACCCAGGGGCTTTTATTTGAACAAACTTGGTAGATCCCCATTTGAAGATGTTTCATGATAAATATCTAAGCTCTAGCTCTAAAGAAAATCTTTAAGTTTTTACTAACACATATATAGTGAAAAAACAATGACCCACACCCTCTGTGCGGGCCAATTTTGTCCCCAGGGCTTTTATTTGAACAAACTTGGTAAACACTCACTAGAAGATAATTCACAGGGCCCTCAATCCAATTTGGGGGAAGCGGGTCGCTACCCTCAGCAGGGGGAATTTTAGTGTATGGGGGGAATTTTTCTCTTTTCTTTTATTATCAAATACACTTATTTAAATATCAGCTGTTTTTTATTTACATGTAAAAAATCCATAATAGGTAACACTAAACTGTTCAGAAGTGATTGATAAGATTTGAAGAAAAAGTTTTTAACACCTTACACCATCAAATCTTTATGCTGCTTAGCTTTCTTTATGATCCCCCCCCCCTAATCATTTAGAAACACATCCAGACAAATGTCTCATTTCCACTAATATGAACAATACATGGACCTAAAGTAAATTCTATTCATACACTACATCTCTAGTGTTCTAACACACCGTTTAATAAGACAAAGCTTCCTTTTCTTGACTTTGTAAAACATTCGTAAAAATCGGCCTCGCGAAAATATGTGACAAATGAAAATTTGTTTGTTTTCTGTTTACACATCCATCAATTCTAGTTGTTTCTGATGTAAATTATATAAAATTAAATTTGATTGTTTATTATAAGATCGTTTTTCATCAGTTATTTAATAAAGTATCATGAAAACAAAACTTACAAGTTTGTAATTCACGGCAAATTTACCGCGTGGTTGATGTAACATTTTGAAGACAAAAAAATGATTTCATGAATATACAATTTGAAATCAAATTGTTATGGGAATTGTGATTTTCTTCTGCATATTTCTGTTGAAAATTTTAGCATTTTTACAGGATGAAAGGCCAATATGTGACGGTAGATTTTGGGGAAAAAACAAACGGAAACGTGCAGACATGTACTGTTACGATATTCCTCTTACAAAATAGACGTCAAATAGATGGATTTTAATTTTCAAAAACAAAACATTAGTTTTTAATTTTTCTCTTTAACACTTTATATGTTTCGAGGGGGAATTTTTACCTCTGTTAGGGGGAAAAAAACATACTATTTTGGCGGGGGACTGCGGCCGAATATCGGCCGCAGATTTGGTTGATCGAGGGCCCTGATTCATGCATAATATCTAAACTCTATCTCTTGGTCTTTTTAACAGAACATTTTTTCAGTTTTTACTATATACATAAAAGGAAAATCAATGATCCCGGGGCCGGGCCAATTTTTTAACCCCAGGGCCCTTAATTTAACAAAAATGGTAGACACCCATTAGAAGATGTTTCATGCTAAATATCTTAGCTCTAGCTTTTAAGATTTTTTAAAAGAAGATTTTTTTATGTTTTAACTATATATAATAAACGGAAAAAACAATGACCCCCTGGGGCAGGGCCAATTTTGACCCCAGGGCTTTTATTTGAACAAACTTGTTAGACACCCACTAGAAGAGGTTTCATGCTTAATAGCTAAGCTCTACCTCTTTGGGTTTTTTAAAAGAAGATTTTTTTAAGTTTTTACTATATGCATATAGGGTAAATCAATGACCCCTGGGGCGGGGCCAATTTTGACGCCAGGGCTTTTATTTGAACAAACTTGGTAGACACCCATTAGAGGATGTTTTCATGCTAAATATCTTAGCTCTAGCTCTTTGGGTTCTTTTAAAAAGAAGATTTTTTAAGGTTTTACTATATGCATTGATATAGCATGTATAGGGAAATCAATGACCCCCTGGGGCGGGCCAATTTTGACCCAGGGCTTTTATTTGAACAAACTTGGTAGACACTGACTAGAAGATGTTTCATGCCAAATTATTTAAGCTCTACCTCTTTAGGTTTTTTAAAGAAGATTTTTTAAGGTGTTTACTATATGGCAATATAGGGTAAAAATCAATGACCCCTGGGGCGGGGCCAAATTTGACCCCAAGGCTTTTATTTGAAACAAACTTTGGTAGACACACCATTAGAGGATGTTTCATGCTAAATATCTTAGCTCTAGCTCTTTGGGACTTTTTAAAAAGAAGATTTTTTAAGGTTTTACTATATGCATATAGGAAAAATCAATGACCCCCTGGGGTTGGGCCAATTTTGACCCCAGAGCTTTTATTTGAACAAACTTGGTAGACCACTGACTAGAAGATGTTTCATGCCAAATATCTAAGCTCTACCTCTTTGGGTTTTTTAAAAAAGAAGATTTTTTTAAGGTTTTACTATATGCATATAGGGTAAATCAATGACCCCCTGGGGTGGGGCCATTTTTGACCCCGGGCTTTTTATTTGAAACAAACTTGGTAGACACCCTTAGAGGATGTTTCATGCTAAATATCTTAGCTCTAGCTCTTTGGGTTTTTAAAAGAAGATTTTTTAAAGGTTTTACTATATGCATATTGAGAAAATCAAATGACCCCCTGGGGCGGGGCCCAATTTTTGACCCCAGGGCTTTTATTTGAACAAACTTGGTAGACATTGACTAGAAGATGTTTCATGCCAAATATCTAAGCTCTACCTCTTTGGGTTTTTTTAAAAGAAGATTTTTAAGGTTTTAACTATATGCCTATAGGGTAAATCAAATGACCCCTGGGGCGGGCCCAATTTTGACCCAGGGCTTTTTATTTGAACAAACTTGGTAGACATCCATAAGAGGATGTTTCATGCTAAATATCTTAGCTCTAGCTCTTTGGGTTCTTTTAAAAGAAGATGTTTTAAGGTTTTTACTATATGCATATAGGGTAAATCAATGACCCCTCTGGGGCGGGGCAATTTTGACCCAGGGGCTTTTATTTGAACAAACTTGGTAGACACCCATTAGAGGATGTTTCATGCTAAATATCTTAGCTCTAGCTCTTTGGTTTTTTAAAAAGAAGATTTTTTAAGGTTTTACCCCAATATGCATATAGGGAAAATCAAATATGACCCCTGGGGCGGGGGCCCAATTTTGACCCAGGGCTTTTATTTGAACAACAAACTTGGTGTAGACACTGACTAGATGATGTTTTCATGCCAAATATCTAAGCTCTAGCTCTTTGGGTTTTTTAAAAGAAGATATTTTAAGTTTTTTTCTTTCGGTTGCCATGGCAACCAGAGTTTCTGCATGGAATTAAATTCTTTAGAACAATTTAAAAGGTGACCACCAAAGAACATTCATGTGAAGTTTGGATGAAATTGGCCCTAGTGGTTTATGAAGTAGATGTCATTTAAAGTAAAAGTTTACGGACGCCGGATGGACGGACGGACGGCCGGACGCCGGACGAAAAGCGATCACAAAAGCTCACCCTGTCACTTTGTGACAGGTGAGCTAAAAAGCAGCAGCTTTACTGATTAAATGTATAAAAAAATTATCTTTACTGGTATGCTATATATCATATTAATTTTAAATACCAAAATGTACTAGGAATATTTAATGGAAAAAGAAATAACAAATGTACAGGTACCCCAAGCAAATCAAAGATGTATTATAAACCTTTATAAGCAATCAATAATTAACACCTCAGGTATGTAATTCTTATCAGTTGTGTAGAGCTATTTTTAGCGCTGTCAAATGTCACCCAATTATGTCGCGCTTCAGTGCACAGGCTATTAACAATGCTGTGTGTAATACACGGTGACATTTTTATTGAGTGTGATTTTGAACATGTAGGATTTGATAGGTAATTAGGGGTGGATTTAAGGTAATTATTATTGCAAAGCTGAAAATCCCATGTGGCAAATTGACTCTTGTGCATTTTTTATCACATGTCAAATTTGTGTATTTCCTGATTTTCACGAGTCAAAACCCGGATCCCCGTGTCTATCGAGAGCCCTGGGTGTGTTCATTTATGAAAACTGTAGCGAAAGATGTTATGATCAATGACAAGTTTTCAAAACACAGACAAAGAGAGAGGAGAAAATCAATATGTCCTTGGGGGTTATTAACTTAAGGGGGTCTTCACAACACCTTAAAATATTCCCCAGAATACTGTATCTTTTAACAACTTACCGAGGATTTTTGATGAGGTTGAGACTGGTCCACAATCTGTGCTTGACTTGGTTGTCTACTCAACTGTGCTGATTCTCTCCCTTTATCAATGTTTTTCTGTGGAGTAGATTTTCTGGACTGGCTCCCATGTTCTAGTTTCATAGATTTGGCAGACTGTGCCCCTGGTGTAACTGGATCAGATGGTGTTGACTGAAAGATAACAAAAGCAAACATCTCAGAACTTGCATCACTTACAGTTTCACCAAACTTCCCATTTCCATAAGACTACAGCTCTAAATTTCAAGCCCAATAAAGGGCATCATATGATTTATTTATAAACATCATATACAGTCGAGACTGTCATATGTGACTTTCCAAGGGTCAGGGAGTCGTATAGTTCGGATCATTTATATAGGGAAATATGTCGGGCGGACTGAAACAAGGTTGGATAAGACAGAGTCATTGAAATCAGGGGGTTGCTCTTGCAGTCTCGACTGTATAATCATACATGTTTATGCATTCCCAGATCATTAATGTGCAACAAAGACATCAGTTCTCACATACATATAGCAAATTTACAGCTCCCTATGGAGAAGTAAGACCTTTTATGTTTCTGTGTTATTTCAGCCATGATCTAGCATCCTAGTACAACACACCAAGCTTCTAAAAACTGTCTAGATAAGATTTCTCACATGAAGTTTCCCTTTTTTTTTAGCAAATAGAGATAAGTATTAAGTTATTAACAGTCTTCCATATAAGGCTCCTGATTGAAAGTAAAGATTTCACTGAGATGAATTAGCTTTATTTCAAATTATATTGAAATTTCAGGATACTACATCCCCATCTAAATACAAAAGACAGCTAAGAAACTTTGAATACAAATTATACTTTATCTTGAAGGTTACAGGTAGTCTTACTCAAATGCTTTCCCACCAAAAAAATCTAACATCAACCAATATCGTAGATAATGGGTTATTTCTGGAATGCTATTTTTTCAAAATCTTGGCATTAGATTACTAACAATCACTAATCCTTTATTGCTATGTACTAAATTCCTGTTCTGAACGATGAAAAACTATTGAATATCGAACATCATGTATAATAACTTTCCGGAAATGACCGATTTATTACAATATTGACGGATGTAAGATTTTTTTGGTAGGAAACCATTACAGTAAGACTACCTTAAGATGATTATAATCAATCAAAATAAAATAACCTGTAATGATCTCTTTTTATCGCTACCCTGTGAATTTGGTGTCCTCGTTGGATTCTGTGAAGGCGGGGGTGGGGGAGGGGATTCCCCTGGGTTAGCAGAAGCCTGATTTGAAGGTGAATATAAATCTAATACTTGATGACACACATCTGAAATAAATGAAAAATTATGACATAGTAGTTTAAATCAATGTTATGAATGAAAAAACAAATACAGAAGAACTTTTATGTCTTGAACACAAGTTGATAACTTCCCTGTGTTGAATTTAAAAGAAAGTCACAATTTTTCCTGATTTATTCCTAATAAAATGTAACATAAGAGTCAGATTTCTATGCCCCAAATTATTCAACATGTAGAAATTTTTACATGATCTGTAAAGTAAAAACCATGTAAAAATTTCCACATATTGAAAAATCTGAGGCATAGAAATTTGACTCATACGTAAATTTTATTACGGAAGATTTCATATTTTTTATGGTAAAATTTACTTATTTTATTATTCAAGTTAATTTTACCATGAAAAATAAGAGCAATAACTCTAAGACATGATAAACAATATACAATTAATAGCATACCTTCCATAAGTTCTACAGTTAAATCAGGTACAATGGATTCCCACCATTTCTGTTTGGTTCCCGCCACTTTACCTTGCCACTCAGTAATTTCAAATTTGTTCAGCCGGGTACCTAGATACATCAGTGATATTGCAATAATTTCTGGCTCCCATTGTAGACATAATGTTGTACACAAGCTGTAAAGACACAAACATAATAACAATGGTTTTAAATATACAAAACAAGAGACTCTTTAAATGTTGAGTTTAAGAAATCAATATGTATTAATTTATAATGCAATACATGTATGATTATTGTTTATTTGAATTTATAACAGCCCTATTTTCCAAAAATAGATTGAGGTACAATTATGATTAATTCTGTACTGAGTACATTATTTCAATAAATATAACTTGAAACAAGAGCTGTCCGTAAGACAGCGCGCTCGACTTTTTTATTGCTTGCCAATAAAAAAAGTTTTTGCAGTAAAAGGCAATACAAGAACCAAGATTCTAAGTCGATAAAAGGCCTTAATTTTTAAAACAAATCCTTGACAGAGTTACCTTCTCTTGCGTACAGATGGGGGTAATGATGTGAAATAGCATTAAAAGTTTCAAAGCAATATCTCAAAGGGTTAAGGCAATAAGTGGATTTTACCCATATTCAATGTATTTTCTAAGTCAAAAAGGGGCATAATTCTGTCAAAAAACCTTGACAGAGTTATGTCCTCTTGTCTGTTGATGAAGGTCGTGATGGTAAACAAGTATGGTCAGTTTCAAAGCAATACCTCCAATGGTTTTGAAATAAAGTGAGGTGGTACAAAAAACTTAACCAAGCTCAATACACTTTCTAAGTCAAAAAAGGGCCATAATTCTGTCAAAAACCTTGACAGAGTTATGTACTCTTGTCTGTAGATGGAGGTTATGATGGTGAACAAGTATGGTAAGTTTCAAAGCCATACTTGTAATACTTCTGAAATAAAGTGGGGTGGTACGAAAAACTTAACCAAGGTGTGACGCCAACGCCGACGCCGACGCCGGGGCGAGTAGGATAGCTCCCCTTTTCATAGAAAAGTCGAGCTAAAAAGTAATTGTACTTAATATGTACAAAAATCTACAATCACTATTTACTTAATGTGTGAATCTTTGTTATTCATTAAAAACAGCATAAATACCTGTCATTTATAAATGTCCATGCCATTTGTACCAGTTTCTGTACCTTCTCTTTATCAGCTGTAAAAATATAAATCCAGTCATATGTTATCATTTGAGCCGCGCCATGACAAAACCAACATAGTGGGTTTGCGACCAGCATGGATCCAGACCAGCCTGCGCATCCGCGCAGTCTGATCAGGATCCATGCTGTTCGCTATCAGTTTCTCTACTTGTAAAAGGGTTTGTAAGCGAACAGCATGGATCCTGATCAGACTGCGCGGATGCACAGGCTGGTCTGGATCCATGCTGGTCGCAAACCCGTTGTTGGTTTTGTCGTGGCATGGCTCATTTATATGCTAGAAAAAAACACAACATCTGTTTATCAACACTGATTCAGTTGTGCTCACACCAATGGGCAGACATGTAACCAGTATTTTGCAGACGTTCATCATCTTTAGACAACAGTATTTTATAGACTTTGCATTATTCTAATAATCTTTTCTCCACAAATAATTAGCAACTTCTCTACACTAACAACTTATTCGATCAGCGGTGGAGAGTAAATGATTTCAAACATACCGTCTTCAAACAAACATGTACTGCGAATAATATTCCACAAGTCTAAAACAATCTGCTGTACTTTACACTAATGACACCATTCATGTTGGAGTGTGTGGGAAATTCCTGAGTGGTAAAAGTGAGTTGGAGCAATGGCCAAATTATCCTTATTTATTTATTTTGGGCCACCATTGCACAAGAAAGCTCTTTACTGTTGAGAAATTGTGTTACCCTCCATCAATTTGGGATCATATCCAAAACAGTCATCCATATGAGTTTCCAATGTTAACTGTAAATCAAAGAATGTAAAAAAAATCAAATACCTTTGGGGCAGTTACCTTTTACAAGTTTGGCAAACTTAATAAGGTAAGCATACGGATGTTCTGCCTGTAGATCAAACTTGATTGTCTGTAATAATATCCTCTCTAGAATCATAACTTCTTCCTGAAAAAAGAGAAAAAATTTATTCCACTAGTCCTTAAAAATCAGTTGATGAAATAATGAGTTAATTTCTTAAAGCTATAAGAATAAGCATATTAGTTACCGCTACATTGCAACAATTGTAAAATGGACATGCTTTGCCTTTTAGACTGGATTACTAGTATTCTACATTGTAGATCTATTTTTGAGGACACTAAAAGTTGTCAGCCATAAATATAGTCTATTTAGAGATAAATCATCACAGACTTCTAAAAACTACATTTGTAAAATCTGGCGAGCGTTTCACTAACATTCCTCAAGTTTTGCGTATCTTTTTACATAAATTTGGACTTATGCAAAACGTAAATTAACATTAGTTGTGTTTCACAAAACAGATTGTGCAATCTTGAGTTACGATAGCGTAAGTTCGTTAGTCAAAATCTCAAATGCACCCCTGTATTTTAGGCACTATCAACTTGTTGAAAGTTTGAATTCAACAGTTTACTGTAAGTTACTTGGGAGAACGTTTAAAATAAATGACTACAAGATTTAGAAGATTTTATGCCACACAGGCAACAGATAATAATTATTTTTCAGATGGTTTTACTTTTCACACAGTAGAGACCATATGGTGACTTTTCAGCTTAACTGGCGGAGGAAGTCTTTGGCAAAAGATTACAACTTAAGTTTACCACACTTACTGTTTGAAATTTTTTTTGACTCCTCAACTGTTTCTGTTAATATAAAAATTAAAAGATTAAGACAGCTATTGGTCCTTACCTTTGGATCAGTGCCGAATTGTGCAAACTGTTTGGAGTTGAGTATCTGTTGGGAGATTTTGATTATATCTTTACATTTCTTTGGCGTTTCTTCAACCTTTCCAGCTAGAAACAGGCAGCATGCTGCAGAAACCTAGGCAACAAAAAAAATAAGTCATAAATTCGGAAAAGTTTGACTTGCTATTGTAAGAAAGCCTAGAAAAAGAAATATTTTCGGCTGTTCTTTTTTACAATTTCAAAGTAGTTCCTCTTAACTTCTTTGTTTCATTCTTATCAATTTTGCTTTGAATATATAATTATTTTAAAGACAGTTTTCTTCACAATCTTATAAACTGTTCTTGCCGTCCTAAAAATTGCACTTACATATCTTGGGAAGTCTTTGAAGGAATGAAACATGTAGAATCTGTGGAAGTACACAACCCCAGTGGCACATGTGTCATATCTCCTGGTGTTATGTTAAGAAAAACATACTCTTATACAAAAACACTTATACTTTTTATGTGGTACAAAATGTATATTCTTTATCATAAGAACAGAAAATACCTTGTTCGATGATATTTATGTAGTAAATTCATGAAAAAGTTCAACTAATCTGTAAAGGCTACTGGACAATGTGACAATACCGACAACTGATTTTGCCATCCCTGTGATACAGATGCTGCCAAACGACTTTAACTTAAGAGTTAATCTTAACAATTTAAGAACAATGATGATAAAATCAACTGACCACATTGCAAAATTTGTTAAGTTAAAAATAAAATCCAAATAGAAAGTACTTTCAATAATTCTTCAATACTTACATCAAAATTAAGAAAAATACTGCTCATAAAGTTAAACTGCATGTAAAATGCTCATTATGGATCTGATTGATAGTGAATAATAAAAGGATACAGTCCTAACTTAGTACCAGCATCAACAATGAATCTTGCACCTTCTCGTCTATATCTAGCCTCTGTGGGTGAGTCAATACCATCACGATATGTAGGAGAATTTTTTATTTCCTTCTTTTCATAGTACCAACAAGGCATATTTCTCCTGAAAATAATGCAAGTATCTAAGACTAGAGTATTGATAAAACTAAAACTTATAACAAGCCATAACATACATGTACCAGCAGTGTTTTTTCCCCCTACTTTGGGAATGGTGCCGGTAGCAGACAGATCAGGAAAAAATCCATCAGTTTGACTCAAATTAGGAATTTTATATTAGATGCAAAATATTTATTGGGAATTTCTTTTATCCAGGAAGACATGAAAATTTGCATAATACCGTATAAGTACTTTTTTCTGCGGGAACTTTATTTCTGCTATTTTTGCGGTTTATAATGACACCGCAGATTTAAAAACCGCAGAAAATTAAGCCTTTCGCTATGTCTACATCGAGGGGTGAAAGCGAAAGAAGTCTAAGTGCATATCTGTAAATTTTTCAGGAGAGACAAAAAACTGTCCTGTTTTTTTCAGGTTATATATATAATTATCATTTGTGTACTCTGAAATGAAAATCAGTTATATTGTACATTTAAAAGAATTACTTGAAAAAAAAATGAAAGAAAAAGATTATATTTGTAAAAATGTACTTAGACTTTTTTCGCACTCAATATTTGTCAAAATATCACAAATCTGGTAAATGCGAAAAAAGTCTAAGTGACGGAAAACAGGAAATAAACACCCTATTTAGACAGAAATGCTCAATACAGAATAAGTTTAATCATTACTTACTATTCTGAATATTGAATTGGAAAGAAAATAATATAAATTTCAAAAAAAAATTCACTTGGACCTTTTTCGCAGTAAATGGTCACATTTAAAACTTGCCTGATAAGTAAGTGACATTCGACCATATTAACCAGATACTTTCATTTTAAGATATGATATTAAAGTTTATAAGATGCTAGGACTAATTTAGGTTTCTACATATATCATCACAATTAAAAACTGCATTCAGTGTCTAAAATAATGTTATTTTTTGTCTCATTGTGATCATAAACAGAAGTTTTAGTTGATTATCATAAGATAATCACTAAAACAGATACTGGAAGGAATTATGTTCTTCAATTCTAATGTAAAACCAAACACATATAAACAACTATAATACAATGTAATACACTTAGTGTTAACCATATGAATGCAATATTTAAATGAATGGTTTAATAAAAGCTATTGAAGGCAGTTTACATAAAATGGACATTTTCAGATTAAGGCACTCGCACTGGACATAAAAGAAGGGCAAAGACTAAGTAATCTAAGATTAGTAATAAAAAAGTTTTGATGATATATTTACAGGAAATACAGCACACTTGTTACAGTTTACATTCTGCACAATTCACCACCCAAAAGTACATCATTCTTCATAATTTGAAACATAACGATTCTTCAAAATCAACAAAAGATGTTGTCAATTATTTTTTGGCAAGACCTGATAACAAGAGCTGTCCGTAAGACAGCGCGCTCGACTTTTTTATTGCTTGCCAATAAAAAAAGTTTTTGCAGTAAAAGGCAATACAAGAATCTCTGTATTTTTAAAGTGAACAATGGCCATGAGCATTAAGATATTTAGTGAAGAATTATTTTACTGAATTGTGTGATACCCTTGAACACTGCAGCAAAGTTTGAAATGTTTAAGTCAAAAGAGGGCTGGTAAGAAAGAAAAAAAAACTGAGTTGAGCCTTAAATAAATTTAATAGTATTAAACCCACTTTGAGAGAATAAGGTATTTTTACAGAATTACCTTCTCCTGGACATGTTTGGGAATCATGATTGTAAACAAGTATTCCAACTTTCAAATTAATATCTCAAACAGTTCAGTCAAAAAGTGGACTGGTACTAAAAACTTAACCAAGATTCTAAGTCGATAAAAGGCCTTAATTTTTAAAACAAATCCTTGACAGAGTTACCTTCTCTTGCGTACAGATGGGGGTAATGATGTGAAATAGCATTAAAAGTTTCAAAGCAATATCTCAAAGGGTTAAGGCAATAAGTGGATTTTACCCATATTCAATGTATTTTCTAAGTCAAAAAGGGGCATAATTCTGTCAAAAACCTTGACAGAGTTATGTCCTCTTGTCTGTTGATGAAGGTCGTGATGGTAAACAAGTATGGTCAGTTTCAAAGCAATACCTCCAATGGTTTTTGAAATAAAGTGAGGTGGTACAAAAAACTTAACCAAGCTCAATACACTTTCTAAGTCAAAAAAGGGCCATAATTCTGTCAAAAACCTTGACAGAGTTATGTACTCTTGTCTGTAGATGGAGGTTATGATGGTGAACAAGTATGGTAAGTTTCAAAGCCATACTTGTAATACTTCTGAAATAAAGTGGGGTGGTACGAAAAACTTAACCAAGGTGTGACGCCAACGCCGACGCCGAGGCGAGTAGGATAGCTCCCCTTTTCATAGAAAAGTCGAGCTAAAAATCACTTTGACATCTATGCAAATTTTGTACAGGGTATATAATATTGTCCACAACAAATTAGATTTACAGAAAAGTCTGAAATTTGTTTGTGAATTAATTATTTGATGATTTATAAATTGCATTAAATTTAAACAAGAAATTGTTTCTTGCAATTTTAAGATGACCATACTGATATCACACTGACTATGATTGTCAAATCTCCAAAATATGTAAATTCAAAGTAGTAAAAGTATTGGTAAAAGTAGTGGTGCTTGTAGTAATGGTTGTAATTTGATGGAAGTAGCAATAGCCATGTGAGTTGTGGTAATTTAACAATTCCACAAGTCCAACTCTACAATCACTGTCACTTCTACAGTATCAACAGCTAACTATTCCACAAGTCCAACTCTACAATCACTGTCACTTCTACAGTATCAACAGCTAACTATTCCACAAGTCCAACTCTACAATCAATGTCACTTCTACAGTATCAACAGCTAACTATTCCACAAGTCCAACTCTACAATCACTGTCACTTCTACAGTATCAACAGCTAACTATTCCACAAGTCCAACTCTACAATCACTGTCACTTCTACAGTATCAACAGCTAACTATTCCACAAGTCCAACTCTACAATCAATGTTACTTCTACAGCTAACTATTCCACAAGTCCAACTCTACAATCACTGTCACTTCTACAGTATCAACAGCTAACTATTCCACAAGTCCAACTCTACAATCAATGTCACTTCTACAGCTAACTATTCCACAAGTCCAACTCTACAATCACTGTCACTTCTACAGTATCAACAGCTAACTATTCAAAAGTCCAATTCTACAATCAATGTCACTTCTACAGCTAACTATTCCACAAGTCCAACTCTACAATCAATGTTACTTCTACAGCTAACTATTCCACAAGTCCAACTCTACAATCAATGTTACTTCTACAGCTAACTATTCAACAAGTTCAACTCTACAATAACTGTCACTTCTACAGTATCAACAGCTAACTATTCCACAAGTCCAACTCTACAATCAATGTCACTTCTATAGTATCAACAGCTAATAATTCCACAAGTCCAACTCTACAATCACTGTCACTTCTACAGTATCAACAGCTAACTATTCCACAAGTCCAACTCTACAATCACTGTCACTTCTACAGTATCAACAGCTAACTATTCCACAAGTCCAACTCTACAATCACTGTCACTTCTACAGCTAACTATTCCACAAGTCCAACTCTACAATCACTGTCACTTCTACAGTATCAACAGCTAACTATTCCACAAGTCCAACTCTACAATCACTGTCACTTCTACAGTATCAACAGCTAACTATTCCACAAGTCCAACTCTACAATCACTGTCACTTCTACAGTATCAACAGCTAACTATTCCACAAGTCCAACTCTACAATCAATGTCACTTCTACAGTATCAACAGCTAACTATTCCACAAGTCCAACTCTACAATCAATGTCACTTCTACAGTATCAACAGCTAACTATTCCACAAGTCCAACTTTACAATCAATGTCACTTCTACAGTATCAACAGCTAACTATTCCACAAGTCCAACTTTACAATCAATGTCACTTCTACAGTATCAACAGCTAACTATTCCACAAGTCCAACTCTACAATCACTGTCACTTCTACAGCTAACTATTCCACAAGTCCAACTTTACAGTCAATGTCACTTCTACAGTATCAACAGCTAACTATTCCACAAGTCCAACTCTACAATCACTGTCACTTCTACAGTATCAACAGCTAACTATTCCACAAGTCCAACTCTACAATCACTGCCACTGTTACAGTATCAACAGCTAACTATTCCACAAGTCCAACTCTACAATCACTGCCACTGTTACAGAATCAATAGCTAACTTTTCCATAAGTTCAACTCTACAATCACTGCCACTGTTACAGTATCAATGTGCAACAATTCCACAAGAACTCTACAATCACTGTCTCTGCTTCAGTATCAACAGCTAACAATTCCACAAGTCCAACTCTACAATAACTGTCACTGCTACATAATCAATAGCTAACTATTCCATAAGTTCAACTCTACAATCACTGCCAGTGTTACAGTATCAACAGCTAACAATTCAACAAGTCCAACTCTACAATAACTGTCACTGCTACAGTATCAATAGCTAACTATTCCATAAGTTCAACTCTACAATCACTGTCACTGCTACAGTATCAATAGCTAACTATTCCATAAGTTCAACTCTACAATCACTGTCACTGCTACAGTATCAACATGCAACAATTACAAGTTCAACTCTACAATCACTGTCACTGCTTCAGTATCAACAGCTAACACAAGTGTAACACTACTATTATTATCACTTCTAGGGGACCCCATAGTCAATTGGTTAAAATGGCCAGCTTCAAAACACTTCAACCTCACTACTGTGGGTTAAAATTACATAATGAACTTTGTATTCTTTCATTTTAGAAAGTATACAACTAGGATGGTGGTTCTACTTAGGTGTCCCAAATGTGCCTGAAATAGTGCATGATGATCTTCCTTTGACCATTTTACACCAGAAAGTTGCCATGTAAACTTTACAGTGTTAGTGACAAAACAAATAATCCAAACTATCAATGCTGAAGTATTCACAGCTAACATT